TATTCTCTGTGCTGGACTTGAGCTAATTTGCAGCTGCTTATTGAATTTAATTCATAATCCTGTTTTCGTCATAGTAAAAACAGTAATAATCACACAACATGACCATTTGCTGTGGCCTCTGGCCAAGGCCATTTGATTCAGAATCATTTTTGTATACTGTTTTTATTTTGTCAAATTCTAGTAAGGAAAGTTTTTATATCTGAGGAAAAACAAACTGATCACTCTCTAATGAATATCATGACATATCAAACTATTTATTTCATATATGCTAGTTGGTCTCTATGCCTGTCATCCTCTATGTTTTTGAAAGAGGCAACGGTTTCTTAATGAGAGTAGAAATGAGAATTCATGTCCCTAACAGAGAATTCATTGTCCTTCCTAATATACCATGCAATCTAGTGTCTAATCTGTCTAAAGACATGGGTTTTTTTTCTATTAATAGGCATTCTATTAATAATGTTCAGTGACTGAATATGCCAAGCTCTTACTATTGTTTTTGAGAGCTGAAAAGGTTTTCAAAGTTATAGCTAAAGTCTTTGGAGTTTCTTAAACATGTTGTGTGATTAACAACTGAAACTATGACAGGAAGGAAGGAAATAAACACTCATTGAGAATCTGCTATTTGCCAGTCATATCAGTAGGCACTTCACATATAATAACTTTGTAAAACTGATATTAACTCCACTTTCCCGGGGATAGAAGGTCATAAAAATTAATAATTTCTCTCAAATGGTACATACAGAAGGGTTTAAATCTAGTATGTCTGATGCTAAAACCTTCATACTTTTCATTACCTTGCCACCATCTAGTTTGAAAATCAAATATATAGCATGTCATGTCAGGAAATGCTCATATTCTCAACAAGAAAACTGAGCACCCTCACACTGAAGTAACTCCCGAGTTTGGAGAGGGGAACTCTGGAGCTCTTCTAAGCCTAGGACTGCTGTCTATAGTAACCCCAAATCAGAGGATACCGTTCAGATCACTGTGTCTCCTTTTCTGAGATTGTCTCTCTGACCTCATCTAAATTTTTAAAGATTTTTAAAATGAAAAATGTCAAGCATACACTAAATTAGAGAAAATAATATAACGAAAAACTGGGTACCTAGACCTGATTTCAATAACTTTTGCCCTAATCTTATGCTCTGTATAATATTGACATAAATTACAATGTGCCTTTCTTTTGTGGTGAGTAGATAATGATTTTATGTGTTTACCTTGTAGGCCCTAGTTCTTACCCCAGTACAGGGTGGATAGTTTTCCTTCCAATACAAAGTATTAATGGATTAATAGCAGTGGCATTTTAAAAAGTACAATGTGAGAGATAATAATAAATCAGCTATCAAAATAAGATACGATAGGACATAAATATTTCACCTTGGATAAAGCAATGTCAGAAGAGTGTGAAGACTATGAAGATTAAGAGGATGAAAACAAAAGACCATTTGGAGCCATTCTGTTTCCATGAATGCATGTACATTGCTTCCACTCAAGTTTGGGAAGTACAGTGAAAGGGCGCAGCCATCAGGATTAGACCACTGGGCTACCTGAGAGACATAACTGTCCTTTGCTCCATGGAATGTCTTCCTTAGGCATCATAGCTCATTTGCACTGAGATAGATGGAGACTCAAGGATAGAAGTTTGTTATACTGTCATTTTTCAATTATCCACACAAATTCTTGTGAATAGAGGTATAGATTACAAAGGATGAAAGGTAATAAAAAAAATTTATATCTGATTTTGGAATGTATTTGTATTTACATTTGTCTAGGAGGTGTGTCTCTTTCTTAATGCCAGATTTTCCAAAAGTCTTGGTCATGACAGGCTATAACACACATTTAAAATATCGGCAGAGTCGTAAGTTAAGTGGATGAGATTCTGAGAGTTAAGCTGGAATTTTCCGAAATAATTCAGTTAACAGAATTGAAAGCATTTGTTTAATCTCATATATAATTACTGAAGGTATTAGACCCCAGCCCTTCCATCCTTTTTTTTTTTTTTTCCCCTAGCTCAATCAACGGCTCCTTTCCAGCTCTAGTTTTCACATGATAGAAAGTCTATTTTCCCCTTATTCTGTCTGCTGGCCCTTCCCACTCTGGTATTAGGAAGGTTTTTTTTTTCTTGATATGGTCCTCACAATAAATTATAGGAAGTGAAAGTAAGATTTTTTCTTTAAGATCATAATCTAGTACATTGCACAGGTGTCTCTATTTATGCAGCCCAAGCAGGAAGTAAAAGAAAAGAAAAAAAACTTGTCTTCACTTGCCCATAAATTCAGAATCCAGTCCCAAACAAATTAATCCTTTACTTCACTTGCGTAGACCTGGCATGCTCTTATCTGAGAACTCAATCTATTAAGAAAGTAAAGCACAGGACTTACAGATATAGTGATTTTCCCATCCCGAATCACCTAGTACTGTTTGTATTTCAGTGCTTCCGTTTCCTTGCCACATAAGTGCATGTGATTTGCCAGATCGTTTGTTCTACATTTAGTTCAAACAGTGCAGTCACCATACTTATAGGTTGATACATAATAATACAAAATACTTTGCCTTTGCACTGAAAAGAATTATCCCTATGTTGGTGAAATAATAAATATAATGAGAATCATAATAATGACCTGTATTTACTGTATGTTTACTCTCTATCAGTACTATATTGAGTGCTTTACTTGCATTACTTCATTTTGCCTCACAATATCCTTATTAGGTAAATTCTGTTATAATCTTTGTTTTATAGATGGAGGCACTGAGGCTTAATGGGGCTTATTAACTTGCCTCACAATATAGCAAGGGTGGAGTTGGGATTTGAACATAGGCAGAATGACTCCAGAATCCAAGCTTTTACACACACACACACACACACACACACACACACACACTCACTCACTCACACTCACACACACATACCCCAACCGATGAACGTAGATCCAAGGCAAAATGTCCTTGAGTATGTGAGAGTGAAGCTATAGTGCTAAGGTAGGGATAGACATAAACAAAGCCAGTTGGGAGTGGTCAGGATGGGCTTCCGAGACAGGATCACTTTGACAGAGGCAAAGGAGATGGGAGAATAGTGTTCCAGAGGAGAGGAAGGGTGATTAGAGGGTCAGGTAAATAAGGCAGTGGAGGGGACTTAGGTCCAAAAAAGAAGGTAGGGGGAAGAGACGACAATGAAAATATCTCTAGGCTGAGTCACTTTAAGAGAAATGGTGGTCCATTGCTTTGCTTTTTAGTAGCAACATGCTATCTCACAGACTAATGGGAATCTACATTATACATTGATTTTAGAAGCTTCTATCTCCCTGATGGGTTAGAACTGGGTTCTAACTTCTTTTCCTGATATTATGATCTGAGAAGTTTTCTTTCTATTGTACTTTTCTTCTGAACACCCAAGACTCACTGAAGGAAGTAAAACCCACTTGTGTTTTTGATTTTGGTGACTAATATTAATTGTCATATCTTACTAATGTTAAATTCTTTTTTCAAAATCTTATTCGAAAGCACATTAGGTAAGTATATAAAGATAGTAACCTTTAAAGTATAAAGGTGTCCTCTGTTGTTAGTTCTATGATATTTTATAATTTAACATGTACTTGACATACTTGATAAAAAGATTTATCTGCTATGGTTTTATTGGAGAAGATAACTTATCATTTTTTTAAGGTACATTTTACCTTGGTACCAGAGTACTTGATACCAAGATAAAATGTAATACTTAATGTCTAAGTAGTAAAGAATAATCCTTGCACATAGAAAATATGGTGTATAATTGCATTTAGGGTTGAATTATATTTTGAAATATATGCCATATTTAAAAAAAATTACCTTACCAAACTCTTTATTAATATCTGTTTACCTTTAAAATCTTGGTCTGTTCCACTAAGAACAAATTATTGTGTTTTTAATTGTTAAGCCTTCTGGTCATCTGAATTCTTTTCATGTTTTACTGTAGTCATATAAAACATTTTACTTCAAAGGAAAAATGTTATGAATTTACTGCATTTTTAGAATTTAAAAATCTGTTTCTTATTTTGTTGATTAAGACAGAGGAGTATCGATTGTGAGTAAAGAACATGCTATGTTAAAAAGAAAATTAAGGATCCTGATGTTTCTCTGTCAGATAGCACAAAAACTAAGAACACCACAGAAATTTTTCAACATTAATAACCTCTTGATAATGTGTAGGTCATATAAAGGACAAATGAATGTTTTGGGGAGACTGAGAATGCTAATTTTACCAGACTGTCCAATCGCTGTAGATAAATATTTGTGTTCCTGGGGATTATTTGATTTTTATCAAAGCAAATTGAATTGGAAACATGGCATGTATTAAGTCATCAGTACTTATTGTCTAACTCTTTTTCCCATAGAAGTTTCTATCCACTAAAAGAGCACTAAGTCTTCAGTTAGACATACCATGTAATGATCCTTATCATATCCAGACAAAATAAAAGCCTTTTAAGAAGCTACTTCACAAGACAACTGCATAGCTTTCCTCACAGGAACTTGTTAAACAAATAATGATTATTAAAGCTATTGGGCCAATCGCTTACACCAATTTAACAAGAACAATCCTAAGATGTCTAGCCTACTCCACATTCCATGTGACTAACTATGGTATCCAGAGCTTGGAAAATATCCAGGCGACTCACAGTAGCTTTTCTTAACTACTTTATGGACACTGAATTTTAAGGAGAGTGATAAAATTAGGTTTACAGAGGAGAGTCTTCAAGGTGTACCCACTGTCAATGTTATAAATGATCTCGATTGTATCTTAAAGTTGTTTAAAATTATCCAAAGCTGAAAATATTGCAGATTTTGCTTCTATCTACATTGAAGTCGGCAAATGCATAATTCTTAATTATTGACTTGAAGATTTATCATATTCAGTGAGACAGATATACTAAGAGTTTTGTATAAGGCTCCAATAGAGAAGGTACTGTGAGTTAGAATAATTAGCTTTTAAAAATGTCACATTAACCACTCTTTTATGCCTACAGTTATGCCATGCTTGAGGTTGAAATGGAAGAAGGAAGATTTAAAGTTGAAAGAAAGGAATAAGAGACGGGGAGGACAGAAGTTAAATCAGACTAAGAGGACTTTGACAGGTTTGGCTTAATTCTGTGCTTGTTAACTAGGGCAAGTGGGAACAGCAGCTAACGATAAGTCAGCACACAAGGGGGTCAAGTTCAAGAAGAGCCAGGAAGACCAGCTAATACTATAGGTTCCTGTTTTTTGTAAACAGAGTCTGGAATTCAGAATTTTGGAGCTAAGACAAAAACCCAAGATTAGAGACTTTAGAGCACCATGTCAGTAACCCAGGCAAAAAATCTGGGTTACATAACCAGGGACATAGGATGCCAGCACTAACAGGCACCTAAAGCAAGTATGTTTATGTTTCCTGCTTAGAGTCCAAACTTGTGAAGACCTTGGGACGGCCTGAGCCCAAAGGTTCATTTTTTCATTCAATTCATATTTATTAGACAGTTATTATGTACAAGGCACTGTATGAACAGCAAAGAATATTTTAAATCAGGCAAACACATTATCTCTTTTTTTTAAATAAAGGAGACATATAATAAATCAGTGATTAAAGAAATGAACAAATAGCTCTAGAAGAAAATACACAGAACAGTAAGTCTGAGAATCTGAGGAAGGTGTTTTAGATAGGACAGCCAGAGAAAATCTCTCTAAAGGAGTGATATTTGAGAATGAGAATAAAGTATGAGAATGAGCAGACATTTGAGAAACTGAAAGAAGAACTTAGTTGAACAGCCTAGAGGTAAAAAGGCCTTGGCATGTTCAAAGAACCAAAGGAAGTGGATTTGGAGGACAGCGAGCAAAGCAGAGTGGTATGAGATGGGGGATAAAGAAGCTGGCAAAGGCTAGATCATTCAGTTAGAAGAGAAAAGCATTTGGCCAGAGTAGGGGATGAGCCAAGTAGTCTGAGAACTGATTTGAGATAATTCACTATTTTATAGTTGTAAACTGCAAAATAGATTACAAGGGACTAAAAATTCTGCCTAAACAGCCCATGCATTGTGAAGTTTACTAAAGCAGAGATGAGAATATGAGGTAGACCATTGGTGCTAGATCTTGGCATTCAAGTTAGTTTCTGAAAAGCCCAGGGTTAAAAATTAACTTCAGGGAAAAACACTGCAGTCCAAAAAAATGGTAGTAGCTAGAGGGTTTTTCTTTGGATGATGAAACTGCTATGTAAAGGACAGGATGGTGAGTCACCAGTGTGGGCTGGTGTGAGGCAGAGCATATTGTGGATTAGCCTGGGAGACACATGCATAGTTAGATGGAAGAAACACAGAAAGCATAATTCTTGTGATTTCCTTTCTTCCACAGAGTCAGCTAAGTCACAGATCCCCTGACAAGGTCTTTTAATTGATTCATAACATATTATGCTGTTCTTTTGATGTTTTTAGTACATACGAATATTTGTTGATAATAATAGCCCAAAATAGTAGCAATATCTTGATCCCTTTTATGAGTTGAATTGTGTTTCCCAAAAAGATCTGTTGAAGTCTTGTTGAAGTCCTAATCCCCACTATCTCAGAATGTGATTTTATGTGGAAATAGGGTCCTTACAGATGTCACTAGTTAAATTAAGATGAGGTCATGCAGAAGTAGAGTGGGCTCTTAATCCAACATGACTGGTGTCCTTATAAGAAAAGAAATTTGAACACAGACACATGCACAGTGGGAAGATGGCCATGTGAAGATAGAGACACGTGAGAATGCCATGTGAAGGCGGATGCAGAGATTGGAGTGATACATCAATAAGCCAAAGAATATCAAGGATTGTTGGCCATCATTGGAAACTATGAGAGAAGCATGGAATAGATTCTTCCTCAGAGCTGTCAGAAGGAACCAACCCTGCCTATACTTTGATCTCAGACTTTTAGTCTCCAGAACTGTGAGACAATAAATTTCTGTTGTTTTAAATCACCTAGTATGTGGTACTTGTTACAGTAGCCCTAGGAAACTAATACAATCCCTTCTCATTCCTTTGTTTTATTCTCTTCCACCAATCACCCCCTCACACTAAATCTCTTTTCCAACCACTTGTAATCTTTCTTCCCATAATATCCTTCTTCCTTTCTTTGTCTGCTATGTGCATCTAGATTTATCAGATGACAATTTTTTTTGCCATATTTGTTTCAAATCTAGCCTTTTTACCCTAAAAAGGAAATATTACTGATAAAGCTAATACCTCTTTTCTTCCTACATTCTTCCACTTCCCAGTTCTCCTTCATGATGATCATTCTAATTTATTCTTTTTATTTTTTAAAATAGCCTCAAGAACACTACTCAGGCCAACTTAATAACTCTTCCTCCTGTTCCCACAATATTTCATACACGAATTTTGTTAAGCAATGATTATACTGTTTTGATTGTAGTCTTTCTCTCTATAAGAAAAGAAAATGACCGGTCATTTTCAACCATTATTTGGTGCTTACACAATGTCTAGCTCTTCAATGAAGCAATTTTAATTCCATAATGTCTATGCAAAAGCACTTGACCCTCACAAGAACCCAGTTTGTAGTCAAAACCAGAATTTTCCTTCTTTTTTCCAGAAATGGAAACTTCATAAATTTATTTATCTATCTATCTATCTATCTATCTATCTATCTATCTATCTATCTATCTATCTATCTATCTATTTATCTATCTGTCTGTCTGTCTGTCTGTCTATCTATTTATTTATTTATTTAAATTAATAATTCTTTTATTATGATGTAAATGTCATAAATTTCACTCATGTAGTGTGGCATACTATATTATAGCTGGTTTATATATATACATCTCTCCTCATTCTCACCATGGTATACTATTGGTGGAGTATATTTCCCTGCTCCCCTGGTGTCAGGTTTGGCCATATGATTTGTTTTGGTCAATGAAATGTAGGCAGAATGGACAGTACATTAGTTCCAAGCTGAAACTTTAAGAGGTTTTTTGTTTCTGCTCTTCTCTTTGTGCCTCTGCCAGTCATTGAGAAAAAAAGCTCCAAGTAGTTGCTGGTCCCAGAATGAAGAGACAAGTAGAGCCAACCTGACCTCATTCTGATGGCTGATTGTACCCAGCAGAGCCCCAATGAACTTGCAGACTTGTGAGTAAAAATAAATTCTTTCTGATGTAGGTTATGGAGACTGGGTGGATGTTACACAGCGTTATTATAGTGGGAACCTCAGTAACACACCTAATAGTTAGTGGTGTTGCCAGACTAGGACTGACACTGTCTGACTAGCAATCCGAAGTCTTTCTACTAAATTATTCTGCAATTCATCTGCACATTTAATGCATATTTTCATATATTTACTATGGAAAACAGAGCACAACAACAACAAAAACAACAGAGAGGCTGTTGTCTCTGCTCTCACAAAGAGCATATTTCTAGTGAGAGAAGCGATAAAAAACAATAAATATAAACCATAATATAATGAAAAACTCTTATAATAGTACAAATGTCCTTCTGACAGAGAATAATAGATGGGGTGAATGATAGGAGATGACAATCTTTATGGTAGTCAGCGTAGGGCTCTTGGAGGCGTTAGTGAAACTGAGCAAGCACATCTTTCTCCTTCTCAAATGGTCTCAGATAATGCTTTCATTTTTTTTTTCATTTTCCTTTTTTTATGTAGTGTCAGCCCAACTGCGTGCCTTTGTCCTAGGCTAACCAGTTATCCTTGGTTTTCTTTCTGTGTGTTCAGAGAGCTCTTGGATTGTTTTGTAAGTTCTTAGAGAAAGACTGAAAAAGGCTTCCTTTTCCCTTTTCCAAAGAAAGCAATTACATATTCACACTGGAACAACATGCTTAAGTCCTAGACTCTAAATGCAACCTGATTTCTCTCAGGTGAGAGGTATTCTCTATATGGAAGTCAAGAGAAAAATGTGACATTAGCAATACTGTAGGGACTGTGGTCAGCTTTGAGTTATAAAGGCTTTTGTTTTCCATGTTTTGATTGGCCCCGTGAGAAGCCTGGAGCAGCTCACACACCCATCTGTATCCATATTAGTGGTGCTGAAAAGTGCTGACACAGAATTGCAGATCAGGGCCTGTGGCCTGCCAGGGTAAACTTGTGTAATGCACTGTACATCCCTCCTAACAACAGTGGTTCTTTTGTCACCTAAACAGAGGCTTTTAAGAACATGAGTCATTAAAAAGAGCTTTAGAAAAACAGGCAACATTTTCCAATATTGTGGCTTTAGGCGAACTCCATAAAGTAGCTCCGGAAGAAGTGAGGCTTTTTCATGAATAACTAACAATAGATTCAGAGTTATAATCTGAATTGATCAGAAGCAAGGAATAGTTTGAAATATAATTTGTGACTGTCAGAAGAAGCCCATTATTGTGGAAAATTGAATGAAGATTAATCAAACTATTTTCTTGAATGTACATAAACATTAAAAATAAGAATAGTTTCAAATCTTAAATTGGCCTGGGAATCTCTAGCCTACTCATAAAAGCGCAAATTCAAAAAAAACTGGCATTAGAATTTCCTTTTCTTATTTTTAATATATAAAAAGTGTAATTGTAGGAATAAGGAGGAGAAAAAGTTCTTATTCCACTATCTAGAAAAGATCTGGTTAACATTTTAATGTTATTTCTGTTAACATATTTCTTTACAAATACCTTTTACATAGTTGCACTCATACAATACATGCAATTTTGTTTCATGCATTTTCTTTCATTTTTATTATTCTTTAGGAGAGATCAAGGGTTGGCAAACTATGGGCCAAATCTGGTGCATTGTGTGTTTTAGTGGAACAATGCTACACTCATTTATGTACAGAATTGTCTATGGCTGCTGTCATGCCACAAAGGCAGAGTTGAGTAGTTACAACAGAGCCTATGTGGTTCACAAAGCCTTAAATACTTGTTATCCATCTGTTTACAGAAACAGTTTGCCAACACCTTGGATAGATTATTAGAGTCACATGTGAACAACATTCCAAGGCTCTTGTAAACATACACTAAAAGTTTATGTATCCATTGACACTTTCACCAGCATTTGTCTGATGAGACTGTTTGTTTAGAACCATATGTATTATACATATACATACATACATACATACATACATACATACATATATATATATACATATGTATGTATATGTATGTATGTGTGAAAGAGTATGTATACAAACAAGCTATGAAAATTATACATGTTATATACTTTTGGAATTTTGATATAGAATAGTATCGTATATCTTATGCTTTAATTTTTATCTTCAAGTAGCAGTTAGACAAAGTGACTTTCCGCTGTTTTTAAAGCACTTTTATTTCCTCTTTTCTCGATTGCCTTTTTATGCCTTTTGCCCATCTTGAAACAGGTATTCTTTAAAAAGTAAATTTGTAAGGGCTCTGCATCAATTCAGAATATCAACTGTTGTTTATATTTTTACTTTGAATATATGTTCTCAAGGTCTTTTTTTGTCCTTCAATTTGAGAGATTTTTTTTGAAACTTTGAAACTTGTAAGTTATTTAATTTATATAAAATGTCTTCTATGATATCTTCCAAAGCTTCTAAGTTTAAAAATTTCTCCAATATATCCTGTTTAGGAAGTGTCTTATTATTTTTAATTTTTAAAAAATTTATAAGGATTGATATTTTTTCTAATGCTTCTTTAGTGTCTACTTTTTAAAAAGATTTTTTAAAGAGCAGTTTTGGACTTACAGAAAAATTGAGAAGATAGTAAAAAGAGTTCCCATAAACCCCACACCCATTTTTCCCTATTATTAACATTTACATTAGTATTGTATATTTGTTACAATTAAAGAACCAATATTGATACATTATCATTAACTAAAGTTCATATTTTATTTGGTTCCTAAAGGGTTTTATAAGATTTATTTCCACTTATATCATTATCATTTGAAGTGATAAACTTTGACACTTTCAACATTTTGGTGGTATTTGTTATGTTCCTGCAGAAGTTTTTTCATACACTATTTTTTACTTCTTTTTCATGTTATTTTTTTCCAAAAAAACACAACACCCTTTTTATAAAACATATAACATCAAATTTTCTGGGTGTAAGAGACAAAATTTTCTTTTCTTTCTATTTTTTTTGCATATATTTTTATGTAGAGTTTTATTTCTTTTTTATTTTTAATGTCTTTATTCTCCCTGCTCCTGATTTTAGAAACTAATATTGACTATCATCTCATTTTGAAAGATAAAAATGCCACAAAGAGAATAATTTAGAAAATAAAAGTGAAAAACTACATCAATTTCTCCTTTATCACCTCTCTGGATATAACCACAGTTAAAATATGAGTTGATTTATTTTTTTCAATATATACAGTATGACTACCCTCATGATCCATTCATTAGCTTAAGTTTGAAACCACATCGATTCTGTCAACAAACTCTTTACTCCCTACTAACTACAGGTAACGACTAGTTGTTATAATAATATCTTTGAACACATTATCAACGTGAAGCTTTTCTCAACTTTTCCCCATTGATTAAATATCTCAAATAGATTAACTCTTTCTTTCCCTCATCTCCACTGACAACTGCCCTAATGCACAGTCAGCTTAGGTGAAGTCCACAAAATAGTCTCCTATATTTCACCATCCCATTCTTTGCCTAATTCATCCTCCTCAGTCTCTCAAGTGTAATTTTCTTATTTTATTTTATTATTATTATATTTTTAGGTGAGGCAACCCTTGGTTGATCTCACAGATTGCAAGGACCTTGTCAGCTTACCATCCTTATTTTTTAATTTTTTACTCCTACAGCACCTGGTCTTTCTAGGTAACCTCCCATCCAAGTACTAACCAGGCCCAACCCTGCTTAGCTTCCAACATCAGATGGGATCTGGTTTGTTCAGGGTGGCATGGCTGTAGACTAATTTTCTTACAATACAAACCTAATTATGTCACTGTTCTGCTTAAAATTCTGATATGTGCTTATGTTTTACTAAATTAAATACAAGTTTCTTGAGAAGGCTCTAACAGAGCCTCTGGGACCCTAACTCACATCTTCTCTGCTTCACCTCTGATTCCAGCATGGATGCATTGGGCATTCTGAATTTGACTCATATTACAACAACAGACTCACATCTTAAATGAATACCATGCATCTTTTACTTTTTGCTTCAAATCTTCTCCAGTGCCACTGCTAGGAATGAGATGCTACTTGTAAAGCTCATACACGGAGTCCCCAAATTTATGAAAGTTAGCTCCGAGAGCAATTCTCAATAATGAGGGATGGGAACCTATGGATAAATGTTTTCCTCAGTTGTTCTTCTAGGAGACAGCTCTGAGATACTTTCTGCATGCTCCTTAGACACCAGGATTAAGCTCCAGTGTCTCAAAGCTATGATATATAACAAAATTTACTTTTATATAGTTTTCCTCTTCCTTCATTCTCTCTGGTCCCTCACTTGTACTCTGGCATTATCTCTTTGATTGAGGCTTTGCTTTTTTGGTAGAACCCAAGCTAAGCCATATAGTACTAGATTTTCACTGGGGGTGATTTAGGGTGAGGAGACATTGTAAATTGAAGCTTTGGGCAATTTGAGATTCCTAAGGCACTGGCAAGCTATGAGCCAATCATGGGCGTTTCTTGGCCCTCACATGCCCAGTAATGATGGTGAATGGCAATTTCAGCACCCATGACCTGACAACAGCAAGGTAGCTACAGGCTCAGCCTGCTCAGGGATTAAGGTCTGCATTACCCCACTAGGCTAGAAACATAGACAAGTAGGAGTGCTGACTGAGGGAGAGGGAAATTTAATATGGATGGTGGAAGAAGATGATGATAAATATCAATTAGAGCTTTAGGACCAGATGCAGCAGTGAAGACTGCAGCTTCTTGTGTTAATATATACTTATTAACTTGTGTAGAAACTGTGGCTGACCACCAGGCTGGAAACTTAGAGGCAGATGGGACTTATTGTAGGGCATACATGTACCTGAGTGATATAAAAAATAGACTGTATGAATCGCTTCAAGATTCCTGACTCACATCCTCTTAGCCTTGTCTCTGATTTCAGTGCACATGTTGTGAGTAGTTGGCTTACCTCATGTGGGTACTTTTTCTCAAGCACTGTATGTTTTGCCCTTGGGGTTTTCCAATGCCACAATTGCCTTTGGG